ATATATTATATTCGTATTCGAAAGAACTCATTAACAATTCCTAATGACATTGGTTTTTATGCATTTCATGCATTCATGCAGAGAGGTGCTACACGTAGATCCACCATTGAAGATGAATGAATGAATCCCGTCGCCGATGTATTGATAGTGAGTTTTGTATTACTCTTCTATACCACATACGTATGCTATAAGTTTGACATTGAGAACACGTGAGAGCTAGATTACAACTTAGCTTTCCTGCCGTTTTCTGAGTAGAAATATGTCTATACAGTCATCATTTGTACTTCTTATGGGACACAAGTATTGTCATAACATTTTCTGCGCCAGAATTTTATAAATAATGTAAATCATCTACGCATGACTGAAATAAAGTAGTTTGAATTTGTGTCAACTAATTCTGCGATAGAATTTGCGATAGATTTTGCGATAGAAATATGCACGCGCGCGTGTGTGTGTGCGTGCTTGTGTGCCTTTATTTATGCATGGGAGGGCTAACATTTCCTTTATATTCGACAGATTAAAATCGATCCACCTGCCACCTAATTCACGGCATAATAGAACGCTGGACCAACATCCTCTCAACTTCTACTCGCAGCCACAATGAACTCTGCTTCGCATCTACTTGCTGACAGCGACCAAGAAAATGGCTCAATTTAGCGGGGTATTACTCAACAGGACGACAAGCCCTCCGCCATGTTAGTGGTTTATCACGTAGTATTTACATGTGACGTGAGCGCTATTTGACCATATTGTACTTGTAGCAACCTAGTAATGTACAACTGGTTGACAGTGACAGTGATTCTAGCTGAGCTGAACCTTTTGCTATATCTCTTGCTGCCCGATTTGACTAGTAATGTAACAGGAAACGCAGTGTTCTATCTTATTTGTGATGATAGCGGCAGGTGTGAATGAGAGTCGGAATAGTATTGGCGAGTTTTGTAGTTGACATTATGTTCGCTACGATAAAACAAAATTAACAACAGCACAGTAGACAAGGTCGTTACCACCTCAAACTTCACTAGTCACTAAGATAATGTGCGGAGATTCATCAATTTTTAACATTTATGCGTGTATATGCGGCTAATTCATAAATAATGAATGGCTCCATGTTTGTCTGAAACTAACTTATTAAATACTACTATATTATTACCTGTATAGATAGCATTATTCTTTATGTATCGATAATTTTAATCAATTTTGTAATAACATGACAATAATTCAAAATTATAATATCTTGTATTGCAAAGCGAAGAGAAAATGTTTTTTAATTTGTTTTTGTACAATGTGTACACACCGGTATGCATAAATCCGCGGGAAACGACAATATTCATTACAAAACCACTATGTAACATATTCGTCTTGCTTTCAAAGTAAACTTTAATTCTCATACATAATGATGGATCATGATAATGATGTTTTTAACAGCTTTCATCCTGTCCAAATGGATCACAAATGTTTCGAGCAATGATTGACTATGCCGATGAGTCACAGAGTTACCCCAAAGAGCATTTGTCGTCTACGTGACAGGCGAAGGATGGTGCCGCCATGTTGCGAAGCATTTTAAAATCACAATGCCAAAACGTGGAAAAGCCAAATAACTCCAGCGAACCCCACCATTGTAGATTTGTTGAAGTAATGATACCCATATTAACTAACTGGGTGCTGAAAGGGTGCCAAATAAATACGGGCCCTCTAGCTAAGATAACGCAAGGAGCATTTGTATCTAATGCGCCAGCTCCGAGTAGCCTACGCATCTTGGAGGTCAAGCAAATGCCTTTCTAACAGCTATGCTAAAAATCTCACACATGCACCAGAATAAAATTCCACAGCAACGTAGATAAAAAGGAATAAAGCGGCAATTGAAAATCTATTTCAACATAGCATGTGCACATTATTGTAACGGCAGCTTTATCAAATTCTGAAAATTGTTAATAACCATAGATATAAGAAATAAAGTATGTCGATTACACTGTACTTTAATTCATATATTATTCTGGAATGTGAACATTGCAGCAATGCTAGCAAAATAAGAAGTATAGCTTACCATACGTCGATTACAAAAACTACAAGACATGCTACAGGGACAACGAAGATTACTTTGTTATAATTTATTTCGCAAAACAAAAAATCTAAGCTACAATAAATGCGTCACCTACCGGACTAAACAACGGCCGATGATTTCCTTTAGATATGATATCGAATCGCTTCCATCGTTGCCCTGCTTTGTCGCAAAAATGTTGCACTAAAAAAAAAGAAGATAATAATGATACGCAAAATATTGGAAAAACTATTCTAATTGCCCTACGAGTAACTCCTCCAACTAAAAAGGCTCATCCTCTAGAGAAAACTATAGCATAGGTTGATGGCATTTAAGTCACACACACGCACGCACGCACGCACGCACGCACACACACGCACACACACACGCGCACGCACACACACACACACACGCGCGCACGCACGCACACACACACACATACACACACACACGCACACACACACACACACACACACACACACACACACACACACACACACACACACATACGCGCGCACGCACGCACGCGCGCACGCACGCACGCGGGCACAGAGACAGATGGGTGTGGGTGAAAAACGCGAATCTGAGTAATGTTAGCAATTCTGCATCATACAGGTCAGTGATATATATATATATACGTATATATTATGTCCCGTGCGTGTAATGGCCTCAATTGCCTCTATATTTATAGTCATGTTAGTGTTCCATATTCTATTATATTATATTTGACTATTATCTCCTTATTGACTGCCTGCTCCACTTACCGTACTACTACCAGTTCGTGAACGCGTTCGTGACCGTATCGATAATAGCTAACGGTAAGGCCGGAATTGTGTGCGTGCTCATCAGATAGGAAATCAACCGCCTGAGTAACCCTTTACATAAGCTTCAGTTATCGTATGCAGCTGTAAATACATGGAATTCTACACCGCCTTTGTCCACAGATGGACCGGGCGAAATAGCAAACCATAATAAGAAAAACATGAAAAACTATCTAATAATTGGGTTAAGGATTGAAAAGGATCTTATCTGGATCTAAATACCACATGACTAACACCACGCCAATACGATATCCGGCTTTTATCGACTTCTTTGTGTGATATTGGGTCATCTTTACTACAGTGCGCAATCACTGATGTCTCATACGAAACAAGAATGTTCAGGAGTTTGATTGTGTGGAAATACTCTCCATTAAAGTATTCTAAAAGATGCACTTTCTAATTGAAATCATATGATTGCAAAGACGGTCATTGCAGCCATGTGAGTTCATGTGAAGCCAGGTGTGTTTTGGTTACGGTCTGGCCGTCTTATAAATTTTAATAATTAATAAGTTCGTATTAATTTCGGGACCATGTTTTGCCTCTGTTGATGAGATCCGCCATTTTTTCCAGGGTGCGTAAATTACATGCGACACGCTCGCCTCAGGCGGGTTTAACTTATAGATTATATAGTTAAGTAGGGAATGATAACCGCATAGAAGACCGTGTATATGTTATAAACGGTTAAGCCTATAGTATTATGTACACGCGCGTGACTGGTTTATGAGATAGACATAAGAATGGGAGTTTCATGAAATACTAAGACGTGAAGTTGAAACGGAAAAAAACGCAAATGCCTTTGACCAGCAGAACAAGTTTTTCTTGTAATTATCGCGTTAATAGCTTTAGGAATTATAACATTAGAATTTATTACGCGCCATAAAAAGCCGGTTTTTTATGCTCGTGTGAGCTGGTTTTGGTTAAATAGTCTTCTATTCATACAAGACGACCGTGGGAAAACACGTATGCCAAGTCACTTTGATTAGGAATGCTTTTTAAGTGTAGATGACAAATCCAAGATTACAGAACATTGAAAGTATGCAATTCTACATGGATGGATGGGTGGTTTATTGGAGTTTAGTATTTCAGAAACCCACTGGAATAACAAATTGGAAGTCGCGCAAATTTTCCTGATATCATGTAATTTTTGCACTTTATGTACGCAGTGACTATGTAAATATGCACTATATATATGTGTGTGTGTGCGTGTGTGTGTGTGTGCGTGCGTGCGTGCGTGTGTGTATGTATGTATGTATGCATATGTATACGTGTGCGTGTGCTTGTGTGTGTGTGTGTGTGTGTGTGTGTGTGTGTGTGTGTGTGTGTGTGTGTGTGTGTGTGTGTGTGTGTGTGTGTGTGTGT